GAATCATCTCCTATTACTGATTTACTGGTAGTTTCGAAACTCTACTCTAATATTATCTAGTAATTGGAAGATTAAAATAGCAAATCAATTTGCCAATAAATAAATGGGGATTTTAGTTAAAACTCCCTAACTAAACGTAGATATGAAGAGCAAGATGTTGTAGTCTCTATTTTGGTAGCCGTCTCCTTTCGATGTATAAAACTAGTCTGGCCTCATTTTCGCCATTTGGTCGTGTTGTCTGGGCGACCTGGTTAGAAGCGAATTGTCTGAAGTCTTCTGCTATACTAGTTATCATAATTCCCAGTGTTGGGCATCGTAGTCGCCATCATCAGTGAGTTTGGCCCTTCTCCGCACCAAGCAACGAACTCGTCAAGACCAGGACAGAAAGAGGAGTGATAGTGTAACCGTTTTAGGCAGAACGTTTGTCGAGGGATTGACTTCACTTGTCTCTTTGACGAGTTCGTAGCTTGGTGCGGCGAATGGGTGTAACCGTTTTCGGCTTAACGTTTGTCGAGGGATTGACTTCACTTGTCTCTTTGACGAGTTCGTAGCTTGGTGCGGCGAATGGCAAAATTTGTCGAGGGATTGGCTTCACTTGTCTCTTTGACGAGTTCGTAGCTTGGTGCGGCGAATGGCAAAACTGACTGATGATGCCGACTCGATGACTTCATTTGTCTCTTTGACGAGTTCGTATCTTGGTGCGGAGAATGGCAAGGCTCACTGATGATGCCGACTACGAGGTTTGTCGAGGGATTGGCTTCACTTTTCTCTTTGACGAGTTCGTAGCTTGGTGCGGCGAATGGCAAAACTCACTGATGATGCCGACTACGATGCCGGCGAAAACGAGTTCGTAGCTTGGTGCGGCGAATGGCAAAACTCACTGATGATGCCGACTACGATGCCGGCGAAACGTGCGTTCGTAGCTTGGTGCGGAGAATGGCAAAACTCACTGATGATGCCGACTACGATGCCGGCGAAACGTTTGAAAATGTCTTGGTGCGGAGAATGGCAAGTCTCACTGATGATGCCGACTACGATGCCGGCGAAACGTCTGAGAATGTCAAAGTCCACTATCTGATGCTGGGAATTATGACAACTGCTATGGCAGACGACTTCGAACTAGGTGCCCTCTACTAAGTCGCCCTGACAACAAAACTAAGTTGCGACAACGAGGTCAACCCACTTCTATTGTCGCTTAAAGCTTATCTCTAGTAGCTTAGTGTCGAAAATGGCACGACCCACTGACGATGCCGAAAAAAAGTGTGGGAACGTACCATGTCGACGGTCAAACATTTCGAATGACTATAACTACAACAGCAGAGTAATTCGGACAAGGTACGTGCGACGAAGTCGTCTTGACAACACGACCAAGTTGCGAAAAGTTCATACCACTTATACATAACGAACTAAATTTTTTGTCCAAGGTCTAAATGATAGTCTCGAAACAGACCTACCAATAAAAGAAATGACGTCTTCATATGCAATGACAAATACAAGATTGTCTTATTCGTAATTTAGTTAGATTTAGCTTGCCTCGAAAGTCACATCTGGTCTGTGGCCCAATGGCATCCGAGACTGTGGCGGGTTATTTAAGGGTCGCTATGTAACACGCACGACCTAGTTTGGGATCCCTTTGTAGGTCAAATATGTGATCGAATCTCTCTAAAAAGAATGTTTGGAAGCCAGTACTGTGTGAAATGCAATGACAACATGGGACCTACACAGTTAATTGTGGGAAAAATTCAATTATCAGTCCTTGCCTGATAACTATTATTTTTGCTGCGAAAGCGAATGACCACATATAGTAGCATGGGTCTGACTCTTGAGGGTGTTATCCCATCTTTACTCTGCCATATTTTACAATTGTTCTGGCACACTCGCAGCACATCTTCACAATGTCTCACTCTAGTTCCCATCAAATGGAAGGTCAAGGCCATCTCTTGTATTATCATATATATGCACGCAAACACACTCACACGCACGTATAACTATGCATACTTACACGTATATACACACAAGAGATTCACGTGCCAAATTGGCCGACTCAGCCAGATGAGTGGCGGCAATGGTTATGAAGATGGCATAATTCTGAGACTAGCAGTGTTGTTGAGTCCTGCTTCCAGATGAGAACTAGTAACAGTGGTAGAGGCCACTGTGATAATTCTTGAATAGACATAAGGAAACTAGTCTGGCCGGGGTCAGATGCCCTCTCCGACAGTCTGACCTCTGCTTTCGCCTAAGGTAATCGGGGCGTGGGATCCGAGGGTTTTAACGATAGCTGAGCGTTTCACGAACAAATAGCCAATGCGCAGGGTGGGGAGGTGAGAAGAAGAGGAGGACCACGTTCACAACGGAAAAGCAGGTCAGAGATGAGGGACTCTTGAAGTGTTGCTACAATGATGCCTTCGTCTTACGCTTCCATCACCATCTCCTACCTTAATACTGCAACAGTCGTCATTGCAACTTAGCCAACCCGGCAACAGGGATAAAGAGGCCTCCCCCCCCGTATTTCAGCTTATATTCGAGGTGAAGCCCTTTGACATTCTACACCTCAACAGGTCTACAACATGCATCAGGACTGGTTCAAATGCACTTGAGAGCCATGGCCTAGCATTGTAACCGGTCCCCCTTGGACCCCACTAAGTCGGGTTGGGTAGAGCCTGGTGTGTGTGTGTGTGTGTAAAACTTTGGCGGATGGAGACTAGATTTACTCATGGGAACGACAGCTGTAATTCAGCCGGCAACAGGAAGCCAGGCTGTGAACAATGAGGGGATGAGACTTAGCCATGCAGTTCCTGAAGGCCTGAGAGCAGGCCAAGTGAAAGTAGGTGAAAACGTACACTACGAGGCCAAGTGACTCGACTGCTGCTATGCTCACTAAAATATCAAAAGAATTCATGTTCGAGTCTTCATATAAGTTTAGTTGCTTGCTGGTATACAGAAAAGAGCAGATATTTCATTGAGATTAGTTCAATTAATTAATTACTCTTTAAATGCCCAAAGTTAAGCTTTAATAAAAGCGCATAGAAATTTTAAATTTACTTAAAAATCAGGCTTTCATTTCATAGGAAACTGCAAGATGAAGAGATTCGTAGGTCGATCTTACCAGAAAATGACGACTGATTACCGTTGTACTGCAGCCGTTTGCGTTTAATACAGCGTTTAGGTCGATGGGGTCTACGAGACATCCTCCATTGCTTCGGGCGAAGAAATGCTGAGCTTTCGTTTATCATATGATGGACATCATCAGAGCTGGGACTCATTCTTGTAAAAGCCTCAAGTTCTTCACATTCAAGAAAACTCACCGGCTCTCTCCTTTATGATATATAAATTCATTGCGAGAAAAATTTAGATATGGATGGGTATAGAAAGGTTCGATTGATTCTCTTACACTCAAGTGTGTCGCTGTGTATACGCCAAACTAGCTATAATTCGGAGTAATTAACAGAAAGCTCAACGTCAGCCCCGGGTAGTCAAGGGTTAATAATCCAAGAAAAAAAGCATATCCATCTCTGTCTAAATTTTTCTTGCAATGAGTATATATATCATATAGGGAAAAAAGACGGTCAGTCTTCTTGTTTTAGTGTAAACTTAAGGCAAGAATGAATTCCAGCTCTGATGATATTCGTCATATGACGATTTAAATCTCACCATATCTCCGCCGAAACGATGGACGATGTCTCGGATATCGGATCTTAGCCAAACGGCCTCTTTTGGCAAGGTCGACCTATGAATCTCTTCATAATGTACTTTCATGCGAAGGGAAAGTCTTGAAAGCAATCTTATCTTAGGAGACTCTTCGAAACTTGCTTTTTCCTCGTATATACATGAATCACGTCTGTTTTTCTGTAAAAAATTAAAAACTTCGTTGCGATAGTTTCAGCTCATTCTAGTCTACCTGATATCCATTGCCACGTTCAATGAGCTATCTCCATTTTTCTGGAACCTCAACGATTCCTCTACGGTAGAGCAGTGGGCAGATTAGGTAAGGGCACGACCAAAGCTCGTGAATATGACTGTGACCGGATGGCCAACTCTATCTAACCTTGATATCGGAGGCAATTGAAACAAGTTTGAGAATGCAGCTTTCGTCAACCTCTACGCTGGTGTGCAGAAAAATTGGTTTTTGAAGAATGCCTTAATAGATTGATGCTGCAATACCTTTCATTTCGATATGAAGACCAAGATGTTGTGGCCTTTGGTATGGTCGCAGTCTCCTTTCGTTCTACATAGTCTCCCTGAAAACAAGACCAAGTTGCGACAACGAGGTCAAACTTTTATTTAGTTTGAAGAGGCAAGTTGGCATCACCGGAAGCTGTAGGGCGATTGCCTTGGAGCTGTGACTGTAGACTTGTGCAAATGGGTCCTCGGCGCACCGCCCAGTTCAGCGAGGATTCATCGAGGTCGCAGAGCGATACACCGACGTCCTATTCGCACAAATCTACAAACACAGCCCCAAGGCAATTCTCACACAGCTTCCACTAGGACCAACTTACGAATGCCTTCCATTCACTTCTTCTCACCAAGGCAAAGTTACCCCAACATCAAGCTATGGCAATATTCTGAGCAGACCCAACAAAACATTTTTACCTGTCAAGCCAAGCTTCGTTCCTCTGAAAGATACAATCGAATTACATCAGTTTAGGGTTAACGCATATCCACATTTGAGTTTAAGCTGAAAAGACGTTCGGAAGCCCGAGTTCCTATCGCAAAAGGAAATTTTCTCTGAGCCATTAGAGCAGACAAACAAAAAGCCAAATGACGGAGCATTCAAGACAGTGAAACATGTGAAGCTGAACATATGGTTTATACATTTTTAGTTCATACTTAGGCTTTAGAGACTACCAGAATCCAGGATGGACTGCAGTTTTAACTTTCCATAAATCTTATCAACACACTAAGCGGTAGTAGAATCATGACAGTTCAGCGTGTAAGCTTGACCCGTTAACCACTACGCCATATTACCACTTGTCCCATTGCGTCACAGGGCAGATATAAATTTCAAGGAAGGCCAGGCAGTTTCTTAAATCATATTCTTTGGTGTGATTGATGATAAAGTAAAGCTATATTTGCCATAGAAATAGACTATATTACTTATTTTTAGTTCATAAGCAGGCTTTCGAGGAAAATCAACTACCATTACCCTTTGCACGCTAAGCGAAATAGGATGATTACACATTATATATGGTTTGTAAACACTACAGCCTATCCAGACGGTCCAGAAACTACTTATAAAAGAGGTTTGACCTCGTTTTCGAACGTTGATCATGTTGCCAGGGCTACCCAGATGAATGCGACTTGCCCAGAGTCGAATTGGCACCAGGCAGACGTCATCAAAGAAACCAGTGACCCGTACTAAGTTCACAGTCCGACGCTGGAAATTAACATAACTATTATGGCGCAGGACTTCGATTAAGATGCGTTCATCGAGGTATCCCTGATAGCATGAGGTCAACCCCCCTTTTATGCAGCCAGAGGAGACTGCTATCAAAACAGAGACCACTAAATCTTGCTATTCATACCTTCTATTAAACTAGCTACAACGTTTGCTAAAAGCCAGTATAAGATGCTGCGGCCTGTGTTTTGGTCGCAGTCTCCTTAAGATATACTGAAATGGTCTGACCTCGTTTTCGCGACTTGGTCATGTTGCCAGGGCGACCTATTAAGACTTACTTGTCCAAACTCCTCTGCTGTTGTAGTAATGATCATTCCTAACGTTGGACCGTGGACTAAGTACATTCCAAGAGGTTTCGTCGGCATCATCAGTAAGTCTTGCCATTCTCAGAACAAAGCTACAACTCGTAGCAGAGACAAATGAAGTCAATCCCTTGACCTACTTTTTTTTCGAACGTTTGTGCTATTACTTCTCCTTTTGTCCTCCCACATCTATCGACGTACTAACTTCCTATCTCACGCCCTTCCTACCACAAATTCTGACTTGTTTTTCAAGGGGTAGAAAATAACGCCTCGTGTAGCACGGATAGGGTGATAGTTGTTGAGTGAAATCCCTGAACCAGGAA